TGTATACAGTTATGATTAACTTGAAATGTTTTTCCATTATAGACTCCACTTTTTACAAAGATTGACTTTGTCTCAGCATCAACAAACTCTTCATCTAAGATTGTTTCCTGTGTGTCATATGTTTACAAGTCAGTGAGAATTAAGCACAGCACGCACAAGCTGAAAAGCCAAATAAGGAAATGTATTCCTTCTCTTGACAGTTGTAATTTAACTTGTAAGTTAAATTCAGTGTTAGCTTAAAATGGTTTAAATGGTTAATTACAAAACACAGTTTAAGTAGCATTGATAATCAGAGTAGTAAGTGACCGAAAGGTTTCAGAACATATTTAAACATGCCATCTCATATTTAATATGCTTAGTTGCAATTTGGTTCTACCACAGAACATGTAAAAAGCCCCACTACGTGTCTGTAAAGTTACCTTAGTCAAGTTAAATGACCATTGCAAAAGTTAACTTGCATTTTACATACAACTAAATATTTGACTTGTCTGGCATACATTTTTCTTTTAATGGTGAGTATATTTCCAAAGACAGGGATTTGACAAGTATGGGGAATTACAGAGCTGCTTTGAATGCCAGAATAATTTTTCCTCTTATCATTGGTAACATGGCTGAGTTTCTTTGCTGTCACTGTGGAGTTTGGAATTTGAGTTAAGTCTCTCCACTGATGATGTTTGTAGGACAGAATCAAAGTGATGGCCCCATGCAGATAAGGTTATAGATATGTAGCCTTTGACCTTGCTGCTGATTATAAATTTTTCTTAAGTATTTGCATATTATACTTTTGACTTTAGCTTTTTTTAAGGGCTTCAATATGATAAATGTAAGAATGATTTTTAACAGTGTGTATGTAAAAGGCACATAAGAGGCACATGTTATTGCCCTATAGATTCAAAAGTTATTTAAACATTTTATAAGCAAATATTTTATTCTGGTTTCCTGTTATGAATTCTGTAACTAAGAAATTTGTGAGTAACTTGATAGTCTAATAGTCTATCACGTGTTCATATAACTAAAGAGAAATTAAATATAAAAAGTGTTCTTTAGCTTTTGTGAATTGCAAATAAATAGCATCCCAACTCCAAATAATCCTTATTTATTATATATGGGTTATAAACCATAAAACAGTTTTCATTACAGGAAAATAAATTTGATTTAGTCTATATTTTTTAAAAATATCTATGATACAGCATTTTATGAATAAAGTTTCTGTTGCTTAATAATTACAAATTATTAAAGTTTAGGTTATTCAATGCCTTGATATTTGAAAAGATTTTTTAAAAGATATTATGCAATACATGGGAATTTGGATTCAAATACTTTTTTAAATGTTCCATAAATTTGGAAGATTTTAAAATAGTTTATGTACTATGGGCATGATTATATCAGTCCTGTTGGGATTTTAAGTCTGTTGAAATTAGTAACCAAATACCTTTTTGTTTTGTTTTGTTTTTATGTTTTGATAAGGGCTAAAGCCAGTTTTTAGGTTGGCTTGGTCAGAAAAGTGAAAAGAAAATGCTCCACTTTAACCGATGTCAGCATCTGAAACAAATAACCCAGAAATGTTTTTCTGTTATACATGTTAAAACGGATAAACATGCCCAGCTATTTCTTTCAAGAACCTTTGCACTTGCAGAATTAAGGAAGTCGTGGCACTCAACCCACTCTCTTATTGGAGACAAAAATATTATCCTGATGGGACCGCCTGGTGCCGGGAAAACAACAGTAGGCAGAATAATAGGTCAGAAACTAGGTTGTTGTGTCATAGATGTGGATGATGATATCCTTGAAAAAACCTGGAATATGAGCGTGTCTGAAAAATTACAGGATGTTGGTAATGAGCAATTTTTAGAAGAGGAAGGAAAAGCTGTGTTAAACTTCTCTGCATCTGGAAGTGTGATTTCCCTTACGGGGTCCAATCCAATGCATGATGCTAGCATGTGGCATCTGAAGAAAAATGGAATAATTGTATACCTGGATGTACCTCTACTAGATATAGTTGGTCGTCTAAAATTAATGAAAATAGATAGAATTATAGGTCAGAATTCTGGAACATCTATGAAAGACTTACTTAAATTTAGAAGACGGTATTATAAGAAGTGGTATGATACCCGTGTTTTTTGTGAAAGTGGGGCTTCCCCAGAGGAGATAGCTCACAAAGTGCTTAATGCAGTTAGAAGATACCAAGATG